CACAGGGACACTGCTTTAAACTTTCACTTTTTATTAACAAAGCTAATGTGGAAGCAAAGTGTTTTCTGTTGCCAATTTAACTTCTTTAATTAAAAATGAAAGTTATAAGGTAGTAGTGCCATGGGTGAAGTTCTAATATCATCAAAATGGGGGAAATGGGTTTAAAATTAAAACTGTTGGCATGGTGGTGACTCTACAGTTCAGCATCAGAAGTTTTGACACTTTATTTAATAGAAAATGGATACCAGGGCCTTAAACTCATCTAGTATTGCCTTTTAAAAAATTATAAAACTATAAGAGGCATGACTATGAGAAAAGCACTGATGAAAGCTGAGGGTGCCCTGGGAAGATGGGAGTTTGAAAGATTAAAGCATGAGTCTTTGGAGTTTCAAACTCTAAAAGAATGTGCGTCCTTGTTCTTAAACGAGGTCAGGCAAAGCGGCATTCCCCTTACTTTCACCAGTCTCATCAAGGTGGCAAGTGTCTGAAACCAACAATCACGCTAGAATGTGCTGAGCCCTATTATAACAGAATTCCAGAGAGAACCCCTGACTCTCTTTGTGCCAGTGGGATGGCTTTAGGAGTTAATTATTTTTCTGCCTAAAAAGCAAAGTACTCAGGAAAAGTTTTTTTATTTTTCATTTTTTATGGAGAGTCTTAAGAATCCTCCCAATTTCCAATTATATCAGAAATAATCTTTTCAACCATAGTTCCTCATTCATAAAGATCTCTACTTATACTTACTGGAATTAGTGTATCTGTCATGCTTGTGCAGTCTCTCTGGCAGAATTTTTAACATTTTGCAGAATTATGTTCTTTTCCCCCAGAAAAAGCCAAATACCATACCAGACATATCATTTTACAAAATATTAATAGATTTTTCCAATATCAGTATTATACACAGAGGTATTTCAGGCATACAAAACATTACATCTACAAAGACTTTAACATAAAAATGTCCTTGACTCAGGACTCACGGTGAAAGTGTAATAGTAAAACTAAATTAATTTCATGGTAATTTATCATCCCTAAAATTTGAAGTGGGAGAAGGTGAAGGGTCTTTCCATTGTGTGCCTTCTCCGTGTCTTCTGACAAAACTTAAGTCTAAGATTTAGTAAAAATAAACTAAAATGTGATCTATCTGTGTAAACTTAGCAGGCATTTGCTTTTTTCCCCCTAAGCCCACGGGTCGGTCCTTCTTGACATATTTGGTCAAGCTTGCAGACGTTGAGCTCCAATAGCGCTGACACTTTCAGAAGACTGGGTTTTTAGATGAAGCAACTGTGGCTGACAGTGAGGACCTTTCCAAAGCACCAGCAACCAGCTGGCATGGCTGCCCAGGGCAAGCGGGACCTTCCATAACCCGCTGGCCTGCAGTGCCCAGAAAGCTGGAGGCGCCCCATCCCCTCCCAAATCAGTTGCCTTTGCTCAGTCTGCCGTGTCACAAGGAAGGGGCTGTGGGGCCCCGTCTGTCCCAGCCATCACAGAGCAGAGTAGGACTGCAGAGAAACAGGAAACAGATTGCAACCCTCGCATGGGTTTCTGTCTTCATATCAGCCTATCCAAGATTCCCCTCATATTTCACTGTATGATTTCATAGACTGACCTGGCAGGGAATTTTTCCTCTTTCTTTACCCTACCTTCCAGGAACGGCTGGAAAATCATCTTCAATCATTTCACCTGGAAGTCTCCCAAGAGGACTCACGTGTCCTGTTAAGACATCCTTTTATGTTTTCAGTAGCTTTGCAGTTTTGTCTTTGGTATGTTTTTCCAGCATTGTGCTTTTCCTTCATTTTTTCCCATGTGATTCATTAGTCTTTCTCCTGTTGTAGAGGGTTATAATTATATCCAAATTAATAGTCAAGAAAACATTCACATTTAGGATAGTGGTTTTCTACAGGAAATTAGGTTAGTTGCTTTCTTTCAAAAATGAGGTTTGGCTGGGTTTTTAATTTTTTCCCTAATTTTTGAAATAGCTTTATTATTTTCATCTGTTTATATATTGAAATACATACTCTTTGGAACATCTTATGAAAATTCTGAAATATGTAAAGAGGTTAAGAAAGACTACCCAGAATTTCACTTTGTGGAGACAATTTCTTTTCTCATTCGAGCTAAATCATTCTGGTCCTCTTTAGGTAGCTAGAAATATAGCTATCTATATGTGTGTAGCTAGAAATATAACTATCTAGATGTGTGAAGATAGTTATACCCTCTTCTTAGAATACCCAGAACTTCCTCAACCAATACCATGCTAACTTGGCCCAACTTTAAGACCACAAACCACAAGTGGACCCGTAGCACGGCTCAGCAATACAAACCCATGTCCCCAGTTGGCTCACTCTGCCACTCTCCAAAACTGCTGTTTCATGCCTTCTTCAATCTCACACCCTTTCCCTTCCTCATGTTCAGTAGATGACCTTGTCTATTTCACTGAAAAACAAGAAGCAGTAAAATGCGAACTGTCTCATCACCCAGCTATCAAATAAAAAACACCAGCCTCTCTGCCTGTGTTCCCACCCTGGCTCTTCTGGTGCTGTAAGCAGCTCCGACTTTTACAGCACTGTGCCCTATTCCCCCTCCGGCTCAGTGGTTCATCTCTTCATTCTCCCACTCATCCCTTTTGCTCTCAACTCCTTCCTTCCCAGCAGCATAAATGCATGCTATACTCTCTCTCTCTCCTTAAAAGCACCTCTTGGTCAGGTGCGGCTTGTAATTTCAGCACTTTGGGAAGCTGAGGTGGGCAGATCACTTGAGGTCAGGAGTTTGAGACCAGCCTGGCCAACATGGAGAAACTTTGTTTCTATTAAAAGTACAAAAATTAGCTGGGTGTGGTGGGGCACACCTGTAATCCCAGCTACTCAGGAAGCCGAGGCAAGAGAATTGCTTGAACCTGGGAGGCAGAGGTTGCAGTGAGCTGAGATCATGCCACTGCACTCCAGTCTGGGTGACAGAGCGAGATTCCATCCCAAAGGAAAAAAAAAAAAACAAAAAACAAAACACTTCTTGTATCATGTCTGCATCTATAACCATGTTTCCCTGCTTCCCTTTATGGCAAAATTTCTCAAGAGTTAGACTTACCATTTCCTTCCTGTATAGACTCTTCTTATTTTCTGGATTCTTGATGCTGTGGCATTTGGGGGCCTTGATCCTGGAGAGACTGTCCCTTCCAGTGCTAGCTAATTCCTAGAGATAGCCAAAGACTCTCCTGCAAGCCTGCCTTTAACATACAAACCAACCAATCCAGAGCCCAACCCGCAACCATCTCCTTTATCAAATTCTCACACACCAAGCCAATATTCCCTGTGTCCTAAGTCACCCCAGGGCCAGGTACAGGACAACTAGGGATCTTTCCTATAGTCCTGAAACAGCTGGAATTATTCAGACCATTCAATCCTAGGCATACTCAGTGTCTCTCCCGTGACTCACTCAGAACTGAAGACAGACACTAGTCCTAGGGACGGGAGCCATCCCCAGTCCAGCAGTGGGAAGCTTATTCTTCTGTACACGGTGAAGCTGACTCCTCTCCCATCACAAATCCCTGCTGGGGTCAGTGCCCTCATCCAGGTCCCTCTGATGATGGCATCTGCCACTGTTCTTTCTTTAAGCAGAAGTGTTTGGCTTTAGTATGGTCACTCGTCATTTAATCTGTTTATAATATATTGCTAATCAATATAGATTAGAAACAGGCAAATTTTTCTTTTGGAATTTCAAGTCAAATTTTTTAATTTTAAATTTTAATGTTTGAGATGGAGACTTGCTTTGTCATCCAGGCGGGAGTGCAGTGGTGTGATCTCCACTCACTGCAACCTCTGCCTCCCGGGTTTAAGCAATTCTGCTTCAGCCTCCTGAGTAGCTAGGACTATAGGCATGTGCAACAACACCTGGCTAATTTTTAAATTTTTAGTAGAGATGGGGTTTCACTATGTGGGCCAGGTTGGTCTTGAACTCCTGACCTCAAGTGATCCACCTGTCTTGGCCTCCCAAAGTGCTGGGATTACAGGCTGAGCCACCAAGCACGACATTCACATGGTTCTTTAGGCCCTTCCTATATCAGCACATGCTAAAAGCATGGAAGGAGGAAGTCTGGCCTTGTGTTGCTGGCTGATATCTGAGACAGATGTTGTGCAAAGAACTGTTAGCAGTTCAGTTTTGATTTCATTGTCTAAGTGATTTGAGGACTAAAAGTTTGTCATCATGGGATATTTTGGAATCTAGGAAATGGGAAATGTGTTAGGCACTTTCCTTCCTACCTTCCTTCCTTCCTTCCTTCTCTTTCTTTCTTTCTTCCTTTTTTTTTTTTTTTTTGAAGCAGTCTCATTCTATTGTCCAGGCTGGAGTGCAGTGGTACGATCTTGGCTCACTGCAGCCTCTGCCTCCTGGGCTTAAGCGATTCTCCTGCCTCAGCCTCCCGACTAGTTTGGATTACAGGCATCCACCACCACCACGCCTGGCTAATTTTTTTGTATTGTTAGTAGAGATGGGGTTTCACCATGTTGGCCAGGCTGGTCTCGAACTCCTGGGTTCAAGTGATCTGCCTACCTCAGCCTCCCAAAATACCAGGAGTACAGCCGTGAGTACCACATTTCTATCTCTGCTTTGTAGTGGCTGCTCCACCAGATTAGTTAGGCTTCTTGGAAATAAAAGATTTGGGTGCATGGAATTGCATAGAGTGTCTAATGAGGGTAGAAGGACGATGTACAGCATTTTAAAGACTTAAAAAAAGAGAAACTAAATTTTAAACTTGAGTTAGCAACATTATAAGCAAATTGGTTTTTTTTTTTTTTTTTAAAGAAAACTACAGTAGATTTTATTTAAAACTGAATATTTAACGGTTTATTGGGTAAGCCTGAAGGCTTGAAATTACACATGTATGAATTTAGGCCTTGAGTTTTTGACACCTTGGATCCTATTCTCTTTCCTCTGCTATTTTTTAACTTACTGCAACAGATGAGGGGCTCTTAAACCATCTGTTAACCTTTCTTTCTCCTTTTTTTAACCGTGTAGAGTCGCTCAAGGCAAGAAGACCCAGCGCCAGCAAGAGTGAAACAAAAAAGCAAAAGAGGTGAGCATGGAAGAGATCATTGGGTTTGACATTTCAAGGCTTGGGCCTATTAATTTTTTATGCCTTGCTACTTGTATATCGTTAATAAAAATCTGACGAAAAACTTTTTAGGATGTATTTGTTGCTTTGGCTTTGATCTTAATGTTTGCAAACTAATACATTAATACATGTGAAGCCTTAAGGAGTTTTTCTAAGAGAATATTTCCATACATTATATTTTCATTTCCATTTTAGGTAGCTGAGCCTCTGTGGGGTTGCGGATGGTAGTGGCATTCGATTTTGGTGGGAAACATATCTTTTTGCCTGCCGTTAAATGTTACTTCCCAGACAGAACGAAACCTTGTCATCAATATTTTACCTGAATTCACTTTTGCAAGAGCCCCATACTTCTAAGATGGTGTTGTCATTTCAAATTCTTCATTTTAAAAAGATATGTGAAACTCCATTCAGTTATTTGCAATAGTAAAACCAGTCCCAGATCATCTAATAACAGGGATTCCTGTCTAGTTATTAAAATTTTACTTGGGTCAGGCTGCAGAGATCAGCTCAGCTGAATGTCATTAATTTTTTGCCCCTTTTTAGGTGTGTGTTCCCTAGCAGCAACATCTGTGACTGACTTGTGACAAACTGAAAAATCAAGCCAACACATGTGTCATCTGGTTATTTATATGTTACCTCTCTGCCCCCAAATATAAGGTGTAGCCATGCATGAAAAAATGTTCACAAAACCCTTTAAGCAACAAATGAGATTTAAGGGTCTAATGAATACTTACATTATATTTGAAAATTTACTTTGTAAAATAAGTAGATATGAAACCTGAATGATTACTTACTTTTCTATGCCTAACGTTCCATTATTGGAACACTAAGCCTATGGGAGTTATTTACATCCTGCTGCTCAAGGTCAGTGCCAAGGTCTGATTTTTCACTCATGCAAAAATTCAAAAAATTGCAACTTCCGGCATAAATAGGTTAAAAATGATAACCGAATTTTGAACAGTTTGTGGGTGAAGAGGCTATTACAATTACCCTCTCAGTTGCCCATTACTTGAACCTGACTGTGAAATTCATTGAATATTTATGATTTATGTTGAGTATAATACTACCTTCAATAGTTTTCAAATTTTTATCCTTGTAAGTAATGTTTAAAATGTCTGTCATTTTCTAATTTATGAGTAATTAATTATTCTGGTAAATGTTAAGTACTTTTTTCTTAGAGGTGAGTGTATGGAAATAAAAAGTATACTACACAGAAAAGAAAAATTAATTTAGATTAACCATTAAAATAAACACTGATCAGCATGATGATTATTATGAAAATTTCTTTTACTATTGTTCCCAAAAAGATGGATGAAATTCTTATCAATATGGTTAGTTTTTTTAGATCCACTAGAGGGAGTAATGCTGTACAGATGGTGTATTTTTTAATGAAAAAGATTTGTTTGTCATTGGGTTCGTAAATAAAATTTTGGTAATAGTATTATCAAAATTCAACAGCCATGGAGTTGATTGTGGCTTTTGATTTATGACTCTTGCTAGATGACAGAAGGGAGCTCTATACTTCCACACATTTGTCCTACTTCTTTCTCTCCCTTCTAATGTAGTTCCTTAATTTTCTAATTCTGCTTATTGTCCTGAGGCGATATTGATATGCAAATAAGCTTTGGCATTCAAAAACTGAAGCTTTTGAGATTCTGACTTTCATTTCCTAGAGATTCTGTGTTTGGTACAGTAGCCCCACGACAGGGAATAAATGATTACAACTTCGTTTCCATCACAGCTTTTAAGAGCGAGTCTTCTTCTGACTCAGAACCTGCTCCCGGACCTCCCCGTGGTCTCTCTGGACCAGTGCTGTGACTCTGGGGGAAAGCCAGGGAAGGAAGAGAGGAAAATCTCGTTATTGATGCTAAATGATACCCTTTCAAACAGGAGAGTTCTTCTCATCTTCTGTTTTCTATGAAGCAAGGATAATAGGCAGCTTAAAATTGGAACATGTTTTATTTTTTAAAACTTAAATAGCTTAAAATAATTTATACACGTGCTTTTAAAAATTTTAAGAAATACTGAAAGGCTTGTAGTGAAAAGCTCGTCTTCCGCTCCTCAGAGCAATCACTTTGTAAAATAAAATTTTTATTGAGGTAAAATTTACATATGGTGAAATACGTACACAGCCTTTAAGTCTTCAAGCCAAGTGGTTTTGATAAAAATTGGTGCAATTGTGTAACTACAACCACATTCAAGATACAGGTCATTTCTCTCCCCCCTTGAAAATACCTTCATGCCCCTTGGTCATGCTATACAGGAAAGCAAAAGTAATTCACCAAAATGACCATGAAAATGACCACTGAGTAGAAAAATTGCTGTGGAAATATCTTTTGCTATTGTTTTAAAAAGATGAGATAGTTATAAATATGGTTACATTTTGGATCCACTAGAGGGAGTAATAAAGTCCAATTGATCAACTTTTTCTTTTATCTGTTGTGTTTTTGATATCATTATTCAAGAAACCTAAGATCACTAAGATTTATGTTTCCTTTGAAGAGTTTTACAGTTTTACCTCTTACATTATAGTCTATGATCCATTTTGAGTTTAATTTTGTGTGTGGAAGGGTTCCTCACACCATGCACAAAAATACTTTTACATGTACAGTGTTCCCAGCATCATTTGTTGAAAAGACTGTTCTTTCCCCCATTGGATTGTTTGGGTACCCTTGTTGAAATGCAGTTGAGGATGACTGTAAAGGGTTATTTCTAAACTCTTAATTCTCTTCCACTTATCTAAATGTTTCTCCTATGTCAGTACCATGTCAGTACCACACTGTCTTAAGTATAGGAGTTTTGTAGTAAGTTTTGAAGTCAGGGTGAATAAGTCCTCCAACTTTTTCATTTCTAGATTGTTTTAGCTATTCTGTGGCTTTTGCATTTTTATATGAATTGTCAATTTCTGCAAAAATAGCCAACTGGGATTTTAATAAGGATCACACTGAGTCTTAGATCAATTCGTGGAGAATTGTTATCCTAATAATATCAAGTCTTCCAGCCTGTGAAGATGTAATGTTTCTCTCCATTAATTTAGATCTTCTTAATTTCTTTCAACAAAGTTTTATAGTTTTCAAAGTGTAAGTTTTGCACTTCTTTTGTTAAATTTGTTCCTAAATATTTTATTCTTTTTGATTCCATGTTGTGAATGAAGCTGCTTTCTTTTTTTTTTCTTCTACCATTAGTCTGTGGTGTGGACAAACTGCTTTCTTAATTTCATTTTAGATTGTCCATTGTTAATGTATACATTTCTATACGTAGAAATATATTTCTCTATGTAGATTTATTCTGCCACCTTGCTGAATTCATTTATTAGTCATTTTTTAAAAATAGATTTTTAAAGGATTTTCTGTATATGAGGTTATATCGTCTGAAAATAAAGATAGTTCTATTTATGACTTTCAAGTCTGGGTGCCTTTTGTTTCTTTTGCTTGCCTAACTTCCCTGGCTAGAACCTCCAGTACAACATGGAAGAGAAGTTGTAAAAGTAGGCATCTTTGTCTTGTTTGCAATCTTTTGCTTGGCAGATATTTAAAATTTTGATGAAGTTCAACTTACCATTTTTTTCTTACAGTTAGTGCTTTTTTGTGTTCTAAAAAAATCTTTGCCTACTTCAAGATTATGAATTAAAAAAAATTTTTATAGAAGTTTTGTACTTTATAAGTTTAGTTCTATGATATATGTCAAATTAATTTTTCCATATGTGTAAGGAAGTAAGTGAGGTTCTCTTTAAAAATCCATAACTGGCCGGGTGCAGTGGCTCATTACTGTAATCCCAGCACTTTGGGAGGCCGAGGCGGGTGGATCACCTGAGGTCAGGAGTTTGAGACCAGCCTGGCCAACATGGTGAAACCCCATCTCTACTAAAAAATACAAAAATTAGTCAGGCATGGTGGCAGACACCTGTAATCCCACCTACCTGGGAGACTGAGGCAGGGAGAATTGCTTGAACTTGGGAGGTGGAGGTTGCAGTGAACTGAGATCCAGTCACTGCACTCCAGACTGGGTCACAGAGCAAGAGTCTGTTTCAAAAAAGAAAAATCCATAATCATATTTATGTATAAAAAGACATATAGATATAGAAATACAGTTGTTTCAGTATAATTTATTGAAAAGATTATTCTTTATTTTATTGAATAACATTTGCATCTTTACTGAAAGGTGAACTTATATTTACCAGGGCTATAAATACATAAAAGTTATGCTGGCCTCTTCAAGGAATTTGAAAGCATTCTCTATTTTCTGAAAAGCTTCCTATAAAATTGGTATTCCTTTTACCTTAAAAGTTATTGATAAAATTTACCAGTGAAATTATAAAGCCCTGGAGTTTTTTTGTGTGGGAAGATTTTTGATTATGAGTTCGATTTCCTTTATAAATAGAGGTCAATTTAGATTTTCTATTTCTCCTTTAATGTCCTTTGATAAATTGTGTTTTTCAAGAAATTTATCCCTGTGTTTTTCAACAACTTTATCTACTACTTAATTATCCTTTTACTTAATTGGGCTGGAGCCATCCTCTCACCTCAGCCTCCCAAGTAGCTGGGACTACAGGCACGTGCCACCATGACCGGCTAATTTAATTTTTTTTTTTTTTTTTTTTTTAAGAAACGAGGTTTCACTATATTGCCCAGGCTGGTCTTGAACTCCTGGGCTCAAGCAATCCTCCTGCCTTAGCCTCCCAATGTGTTGGGATTACAGACGTGAACAATCGTGACCAGACTTCGCTTTCATTTCTGTTGTTGGTAACTTGTATCTTCTCTCTTTTTTTTCTTGATTAGGATCCTACTCATTTATATCAATTTATTAATCACTTCAGGGAACTAACTTTTGGATTTGTTATTTTTTTCTTCTTGTCTGTTTTGTATTTGTTCTTTCACTGGCTTCTTAAAATACTAACTTTAAATGTTGATTTTAATTCATTCTTTCCTAACATAGACATTTATATTGTAAATTACTCTCTAAGCACAGCTTTAACTATGTTTTCTAACTTTGTATATTGTTTGAATTATCATTCACTTTTAAATACTTTATATTTTCCATTGTGTTTCTTCTTTGAGCTGCAGTTTGTTTTGAAGTATACTGTTTAAACATCTGGAGATTTCCTTGATATCTTACAGTAATTGACATCTTATAATTCTATTTTGTGTGGTAAGACCATCTTCTTTATTGACATTCATTGAGACTTATTTTAAGGCCCAGCACATGGTCCTATCTTGGTGAAGGTTGCATATGCATCTGAAAACAATGTACATTCTGCATTTCATAAGAATAGTGGTCAGTAAATGTTAATTAGATAAAATTATTTGATAGTGCCTTCAGATTTTCAGTTTATGTGTTCTATCAGTTAATGAGAGGAGGGTGTTAATATAGCCAACTGTGATTGTCACGGGCTGTTGAATTTCCCCTTCTTTCTTCAAAATTTTTTTTATTTTCAATTTTTGTGGGTATATGGTAGGTGTATATATTTATGAGGTACATGAGATGTTTCAGTACAGGCAAGCAATGCATAATAATCACATCATGGAGAATGAATGATATGGTTTGGCTGTGTCTCCACCCAGATTTCATCTTGAATTGTAGCTCCCGTAATTCCCGTGAGTTGTGAGATGGACCCAGTGGGAGGTAATTGATAATTCCCATGTGCTGTGGGAGGAACTCATCGGAAGATAATTGAATCATGGGGGCGGTTTCTCCCATAGGGGGAGTGGTGAATAAGTCTCGTGGTAGTGAATAAGTATCACGAGATCTGATGGGTTTCATAAGGGGAAATCCCTTTTGTTTGGCTCTCATTTCTCTCTTGCCTGCTGTGGTGTGAGATGTGTCTTTCACCTTCCACCATGCTTGTGAGGCCTCCTCAGCCACGTTTGAACTGTGAGTCCATCAAACTTCTTTTTCTTTATAAATTACCCAGTCTCGGGTATGTCTTTATCAGCAATATATAAAGGGACTCAAACGAGGTATCCATCTTCTCAGCATTTATGCTTCGTGTTACAAACAATCTAGTTACACACTTTTAGTTATTTTAAAATGCACAAACAAGTTACTGACTATAGTCACCCTGTTGTGCTATCAAATCATAGGTCTTATTCCTTGTTTCTATTTTTTTTTTTGTGCCTATTAACCATCCCCGTCTCCTTCCCATTCTGCCACACTACCTTCCTAGCCTCTGGTAAGCAACCTTTTGTGCTGTGTCCATGAGTTCAATTGTTTTGATTTTTAGCTCTCACAGATAAGTGAAAATATGTGATGTTTGTCTTTATGTTGCCAGTGAAAGGTATCTGAGTCACACAGCACCAAAATATGTTACTGGTGGTGAATCTGTATCTGTGTGGTTCTGCAGCAACCTAGTTCTTGCCTCCTCAGAAGAAAGAATTTGACTGAGGGGCATAAGGCAGAAGGAGAGACCAAGGCAAGTTTTGGAGCAGGAGTGAAAGTTTATTAAAAGATTCAGAACAGGAAGGAAAGCAAGAAAAGTACTTGGCTACTCAGAAGAGGGCCAAAAAGGCAACTTGAAAGGCAAGTGTACAGTTCAGCTTTTTGACTTATACATTGGCATACTTCTAGGGTCTTATGTTACTTCTCCCCTCTAGCCCAACTCCTGAGATCTTACGGGAAGCTGCTGATCACCATCCAGGTGTTTTCTATCTATTAGGAGCCTACTTTCCCTAGGCACTGCCTGTGACCAATTATTACTTTAGAGAGACCAGTTAACAACCACCTGACCATCATCACCTGATAGTTGCTTGATACTCCTGGTGTGTGTGTTTTGTGGGGCGGCATCTCCTGCCCTGCTCATACCAGTCTAGCTACCCAATATAACATTTCTGTGCTACAGCTTTTTTCTGGTGGCTCTTCACACAGGCTTCTGGCTTGAGATGGCAAGAACCTCACATTTCCAGGGAAGTCACGGCAAAGGACCCCTGCTTTTTCTGGCCTGGGAGTACGGCTCATGCTTTGTGTTTCTCCACCCTCTGCCCACATCTTGGTAAGTAATCACTTTATTAAACTCTCCTCAACTGAGCCAAGTTGACTGTCTTTCTATTTCCTGATGAGTTTCTGGCTAAGGCAAAGAGAACATAAATCATAACTGCCTGGTCCAGTGTATTGGGCACTGGAATCTTAGGTAGTTCTTAAAGCACATAGTTTTTTTCATGTAGACTGTTTTTGTCTTTTGCAAGCCGTGTGAAACTTTTAGGTCCTAATCCTCTATTGCCACTCTGCTTCACTGTTGTTTAGGGGATCCTGGAGTTTCCCTATAATTTCACAATATTTGTGAATTTAGAGGCCTATAGAGAGCAGGGTTCCCAATATGAGATGCAACAGCTAGCACTGAGTTGGACCTGGATTATCCAGGCATACTCCCACCGTGAGCAGCAGCAAATCCATACAGGTCTGTAGTAACTTGCTTCTTGCCTCCTTGAAGGAAAGCATTCATTTGAGGGGCATAGGCAGAGTGAGAGATCCAGCAATTAAAAGACACAGACATTCTGCCAAAGACACATGCGCTCATATGTTCATCCCTGTGTTATTCACAATAGCAGAGGCAGGAAATCAATGCAGGTGCCCATCAATGGTGGATTTGATAAAGAAAATATGGCACCTATACACAGTGGAATCCCATGCAGCCATGAAAAAGGACAAAATCATGTCCTTTGCAGCAAAACATGGATGCACCTGGAGGCCATCATCCTAAGTGAATTAATGCAGAACAGAAAACCAAATACCACATGCACTCACTTACAAGTGGGAGCTAAACATTGAGCATACATGGACATAAACAGGGGAATGATAGACACTGGGACTACTAGAGTGTTGGATGAAAAACTACCTATTGGGTACTATACTTACTACCTGGGTGATGGGCTCTGTACCCTAAGCCTCAGTGTCACACAATATATCCATGTGACAAACTTTTATGTGTATGCTGTATCTAAAATAAAGGTTGAAATTTAGAAAAAAACTATTGCTAATGCAACAACTTGGAACTTGGGTGGATGTCAAGGGAGCTATGGTAAATGTAAAGATCCAATCTCTTTCTTAGAATGGTATCATTCTATTCATACAACATTCTTGAAATGACAAAATTGTAGCCATCAAAAACAGTTTAGTGATTATCAAGGGTTAAGGTGTGGCTCTAAAGGGGTGGCGTGAGATAACCTTGTTAATGAAAGTTTTGGTTCTTGATAGTGGTGAGAGTTAAAATCTACACATTTGACCAAGTTGCATGTCCTTTCCCCTTCTTGCTCATGATTGTAATTGTTCTCCCTATTGCAGTACAAATTCCTGGTTATATTCCTATTTGTAGCTCCTATACCAGGCAAAAAGCAAGGACTCAAGAAATGTTTATGAAATTCAACCCACTTCCTTGTCTAGTATGTTTGGTCTAACCAGGTCTCTCCCATGTTTAAGCTGCCATTTTGTCTTTGTGAGCATAGGGAGGAAAAGTCTTTCTCCTTTGGGTTCTGTGTTTAAATAAGCAGAAAAAGGAAAACTTAGGGAGTCTGGGGCCCTTCCTCGGTGGGAATGTGGGCCTGCCAGCTGTGCTGTGTAGCCCCTACTTCCTCCCAGGGAGGGTTTCTCTGGGACTCTGAACTCTGACTCCTTAGAGACATTCGCATGCATTTCTCTCTCTCTCTTTTTTCTTTCTTTCTTTCTTTCTTTTTTTTTTTTTTGGAGATGAAGTGTTGCTCTGTCACCCAGGCTGGAGTGCAATGGCAGGATCTCGGCTCACTGCAACCTCTACCTTTTGGGTCCAAGTGATCCTCCTGCTTCAGCCTCCTGAGTAGCTGGGATAACAGTTGCCTGCCACCATGCTCAGCTAATTTTTTGTATTTTTCATAGAGATGGGGTTTCGCCATATTTCCCAGGTTGGTCTTGAATTCCTGTGCTCAGGCAATTCACCTGCCTCAGCTTTCCAAAGTGCTGGGATTACAGGCATGAGCCACTCTCAGTCTCTTTTGAACTGTTAAAGGACAAATCTGCTAACTTGAGAAATGAGGATAATCCTGAAGTTCTGAATTCAATGACATATAGCCAATGGCTTTTTCAGATAATAAAATCATATAAAAAATAGAATAATGCATGAAGGAAAGTTGAGAAAACAGATGTGACTGCTCATCTGCATGCTTTGCGTTTTCTGCCTATCCCACGTCTCTGTTTCGATGTCTAATAGGTGCTGGCCTGAATCGCCCTAAGACTTGCTTTTCTCAGGATTGGGTGCCTCTATTCTTCCAGTAGCTCTGTCATCCTGGAACCCATAGTTTCTCACTCACTCCCATATCTATGTAATCCATCCGCAAACTCTGTCTTTTCTGCCTTCCAAACTCACTTGGAATCTAAGCACTTTTTGCAGAGATCTCTTACTCTCCTGTTCCAAACTATGGTCAACTCTCACCTGGATCCCCACAGAGCGCCAGAGTGGGTCTCCCCTTTATGTCCCAGGTCCTCTGCAGTCTATTTTCTGAAAGCAGCCAGGGATGTCTGTTTCTGGCCCAGGGGAGATACAGAAGCCCGATTTACCCTTCTGCCATGAATAAGTAGAAAACCAGTCAAAATACATGAAACATTTATGTACTTAAACTCATACTAAATTCATACATACGCATAGATCTGATTCTAGGTTTTCTAATCTATTCCACTGGCCTGTCTGTTCAATCCTCCCTCAGTAAAATACTTTAATTATTGAAACTTTATAAGTCATGTTTATATCTAGTATGGTGACTCTTACCCCGTTTTGCATAATGTTCATGCCTGAATCAGGTGTTTCTTTTCCAGGTGAATTCCATAAGGATTAAATTGGAATTGCTTTATATTTACAGATGTATCTGAGGATTAATGGATTTCTTCCCATATCACATCTACTTATTTAATAATATAGAAAACACTATACAAACTTTGTTACTATAGCTATACAGAAGGTGTGACTGGGATTATCTTGCCTTCATGTTTTCTTTTCTTTCTTTCTTTCTTTTTTTTTTTTTTTTTTTTAAGACAGAGTCTCACTCTGTCTCCCAGGCTGGAGTGCAGTAGTGTGATCTCTGCTCACTGCAACCTCCACCTCATGGGTTCCAGAGATTCTCCTGCCTCAGCCTTCTGAGTAGCTGGGATTACAGGCGTTAGCCACCATGCCCAGCTAATTTTTTGTATTTTTAGTAGAGACGAGGTGTCTCATTACTGCTCTCCATGTGACCTCTTCTGATACTTTTGGCCTCCTAAAGTGCTGGAATTACAGCCATGAGCCACCGCTTTTTATGTATTTATTTTGTAACATCACCTTGCAAAATTTTGTTATCAGTTTTTTTGTTTTGTTTTGTTTTATTTTGTTTGAGATGAAGTTTTGCTCTGTCGGCCAGGCTGTAGTGCAGTGATATGATCTCTGCTCACTGCAACGTCTGTCTCCCAGGTTCAAGTAATTCTCCTGCCTCAGTCTACTGAGTAGCTGGGATTACAGGTACCCACTATCATGCCCAGCTAATTTTTGTATTTTTGGTAGAGACAGGGTTTCACCATGTTGGCCAGGCTGGCCTCAAACTCCTGACCTTAAGTGATCCACCTCCTTGGCCTTCTAGAGTGCTAGGATTACAGGCAGGAGCCACCTAGGCCAGCCTTTGTTATCACTTCTAACGGTTCTTTTATAGTGGATTCTGATTTGTCTTGAGACTTCTTCAACTTACTGATCATTTAGAAGTTTGTTGTTTAGTTTCCAAGTGTTTGGAGATTTTCCTGTTATATTTCTGTTGTTAATTTCTAGTTTGATTCCATCATGGTCAGAAAACATACTCTGTAATATTTCAATTATTTTGAATTTGTTAAAGTTTGTTTTATGGTCCAAGATATGGTCTATCTTGGTATATGTTCCGTGGACACTTGAAGAGAATGTATATTCTGCTGTTGTTGGGTGTCCTATAAATATCGACTGAGTTCTGTTGGTTGATTGTATTGTTCAGTTCTCCCATATCCTTGTTGATTTTTCTGTCTAGTTTCTCTCTCAATTGTTATAAGTGTTGAAGTCTCCAACTATAATTGGGAATTTTTGTATCTCTCCTTTCAGTTCTATAAATTCCTGCTTCATACGTTTTGCAACTCTCTTGTGCGGTGCGTACACAGTCATGATTGCTATGTCTTTTTGGTGGATTGACCCTTTCATCAATACATAATGTACCTCTCTGTCTCTGGTTATTTTCTTTGCTCTCAAGCCTACTTTTTCTGATATGATTATAGCTCTTCCTGTTTTCTTTTGAGTCATGTTTGCATGGTATATATCTTTTTATGTCCTTTTACTTTCACCCTACCTACATTACTTGAAGTGAGTCTCTGGTAGATAGCATATAGCTGGGTCATACTTTTTAACCCATTCTGCTGATCTCTTTCTTTTCATTGGTATGTTAGGCTGCCTAAATTAGTTGTAATTATTGACATATTAGAACTTAAGTCTTCTATTTTAATATCTGTTTATTCTGTTTTTTTCTTTTTCTCTTTTTTCCCCCTGTATTTTTGTGGATTTTTAAAAATTTCATTTTGATTCATCTGTTGTGTTTTTTTTCAGGATGCTTCTTTGTGTAGCTTTCTTAGTGGCTGCTCTAGGTATTACATTATATTGACAGAACTTAGCACAGTCTACTGGTGTTGATGTTTTACCAGTTCAAGTGAAGCATAGAAACCTGACCTCCTTTTATGTCCCTTTACCCTCCCCTATCTGTGATTGTCTTACATATTCCTGTACACACATTTAAAACAAGTGGGGGCTGGGCGCGGTGGCTCAAGCCTGTAATCCCAGCACTTTGGGAGGCTGAGGCGGGTGGATCACGAGGTCAAGAGATCGAGACCATCCTGGTCAACATGGTGAAACCCCGTCTCTACTAAAAATACAAAACATTAGCTGGGCATGGTGGCGCGTGCCTGTAATCCCAGCTACTCAGGAGGCTGAGGCAGGAGAATTGCCTGAACCCAGGAGGCGGAGGTTGCGGTGAGCCGAGATCGCGCCAT